CATCCTTACCTAAATAAAATCCATTTTACAGCAAAACTTATCTGTGTTTCGCTTCGCCACCATGTATTCCCCTTTCAGAAAAGCTAATGGGGAAACAGGTAGACATGGCAGAAGCAAATCCGTGTGGAATATCTTTGTTTACAGGCCATCTTCTTCTAAATTTGATAAAAGGGATCCTCCAAAAGAACTCATCTGCCCCATTTATGGGTGCTTGATGTTTGATCCAGTTGTGGTGTCTACTGGCCAGAGTTTTGAGCGGACTTCTGTTCAAGTTTGTAAGGATTTGGAGTTTAAACCCCAACTTCAAAACGGGTTAAACCCGGATTTCACTAACGTGATACCGAATTTAGCTCTGAGGACGACAATTCTCACCTGGTGTGAAAAGTCAGGGGCGGAGAAGCCGCAGCAGCCGGATTATTACGCTGTTGAGTCTGTTGTTCGTGCTTCGATGGCTTCGACTTCTTCTTCTTCGATCTCTAGAGAGGATTCTAGAATACGGAGAGAAGATTCTAGAATACGGGTGTCAGAGAGGGATTTGTTCAAGGGGGTAACGGAGAATCCACCTATGCTTCTCTCTCACGCCGCATCGGAAATGAAATCGAGGAATAATCATTTCTACTCTTCTTCGAGCTCTGAAGAATCTGTCATCGCTAACAACTCGCCGCTACTCCCTTTTAAGACTCGTCTCTCCAGCTACTCCTCTTTGTCGTCGCAATCGACTTCGTCGGAGATAATCTCCGGTGAAGTCCCGTCGTCTGCTTCCACGTCATCGGAAGATGATTATTACGTTGTTCAATTTAAGAAATTGGACGTTTATGAACAGGAACAAGCTGTAATTTCACTGAGAAAAAGTACCAGAACCGATGAAGAAGCTAGGGTTTCACTGTGCACGCCGCGGCTTTTATCGGCTCTCAAGCCGTTACTAGTCTCGAGGTACGCCGGAGTTCAGCCGAACGCCGTCGCCGCATTGGTCAACCTCTCGTTGGCAGAAATCAACAAAGTGAAAATCGTTCGAGCCGGAATTACCTCTCTGCTAATTGATCTTCTCAAAGGCGGCTCGGAGGAGACCAAAGAGCACGCAGCCGGCGCCATATTCAGCTTAGCGCTGGAAGATGACAACAAGACAGCAATTGGAGTATTAGGCGCATTGCAGCCGCTTTTACATGCTCTGAGGTCCGGGACAGAGCGGACTCGTCACGACTCCGCATTAGCCCTTTATCATTTGACCTTAGTGCAGAGTAACCGAGTTAAGCTCGTTAAACTCGGAGCTGCAAATACACTCCTGGGATTGCTCAAAGCCAGCGATATAGCGGGTAAAGTAATGCTGGTTGTGTGCAATTTGGCAGTGTGTCAAGAGGGGAAATCAGCATTGCTGGACGCCAATGCAGTGGATGTACTGTTGGGGATACTGAGAAATTGGAATAAATTGGATGAGTCAACTCGGGAGAATTCCGTGGCGGCTCTATACTCACTGAGTCAGGGGAGTTTGAGGTTCAAGAGTATGGCGAAAGAGGCGAAGGCGGGTGAAGTATTGCAAGTGGTGGTGGAGCGAGGAAGCGGACGGGCGAGGGAGAAGGCAAAGAAGATGTTGATCGCTATGCAAAGAAGGGTAAAGGAGTATGACGATGAAGAAGAGGATGCAAACTGGGAAGGAATACTTGAAGGATGAGTGAGTCAAACTCGGTACTGAGTTCAACTCAACCGAGTTCTGAATTTTGGATTGAGTAGTAAAAAGTGTAATTATCAATTATTTGGGGTTTTGGGACTGTTTATCATGTTCATGGTTATAATTAACTTGTTTATTTAGCTTTTGATTTGCTGAATTGGGTCCTAACCTTCTTTTCTTTGTTCTAGGTTTGGTTGTTAGTTACTTAAGAATGTAATTTGGACTACAATTGTGATTATTGTGTATATAGTTAGGATTTAAGGAGTGAAAATGCAATTTTGGTTTAAAGTTTTGTTTTATTAGTATATAGTTTTGTATTTAGTTGAACAGCAGCAATGAAAGACGACTTGATATGGACTTTGGTACCAAGTTGCCATGTTAGAAGAAATCAAGAATTGTTTGTGTTTGACAATGTCAGTAAGTTACTAACTAAATAAAGAATGACCAAGTTGACTGTACTTTTCTGCCAAACCAAGCTGTGTGGATTATAATGAAACTTTTTTGGTATTAATTATTATGATTTTTAATTATAGCTTCAACTAAGTTTGGACTCTTTATGATTATTTTTTTAGTGGGACATAAGTTTGCCTACCACTTATAATCTAGTGTTTCGTGGACGTAATTCTCCCTATTATCCAAATAGAAAAAAGTGTTTGATTTGGATGATAGATCTGTTTTCGGAGTCCTCACCTAAAAGTATATGCTAAATTGCTAGGACCATTAAATTTTGTCGTCTTTGTCGCTTCTTTGGACTTAACTATCAAGATTATGTTTGGAAAATTGCCATAAGATATAGTGTTTCTTTATTTGCTCAAGTAAGATTGTGCTAAATTGATGAACAATTTGTTGCATTGTAGCTGAAAAAGATAGTGGCCACCCTTTAAATGAATTTTACCAAGTCACTATTGTACCGGGTGAAAATTAGCTTTCTCACGTGACTACCATTCATTAGTTTTGTCACTTTAAATCTTGAATAGAGCTTTCTTCTTGGTTGATGTTTCCTTGTAAGGACATTCTAATTTTAAACATTAAAAGAATACCATATTTACATTCTTGACCTCCAAAATTCCATTGAAGTCTTTATAGCTTTTATTATAGAAAATCATTATTGGATCTAAGACTCAATGTTCATAATGTTATCGAGGCCAAAAGCTTAACATGAGTCTCTCTCTTATTTGCTGTATTCGTTATTTCCTCTTATTTAATATCACAATATTCAACGGCTAATAATTGAATTTAGTAAGTTAAAGCTAAGACTCATGTCCTTGATATCATGCATATTGAACTGTATTCTGTCATGTAAATAAGTTTATTAAAAAAATACCATATAATTATTAGTTTATGTACTAGCAAATACATGACTAGAAAGATGGACTTCTCTCTCTCTCTCTCTCTTTTTCTTTCTAAAAGCATTATGGATATATTCTAAAAAATATTTGTTTGGCTTGTGGTTGCTACTTTTTGTTGCGAGGGGAATAAGTTTATGGAATAGAGACTGTGGTTTACTTAAAAGTTTCATCTTGATAGATGAATTAAACACACCAAAAAAATTTATGAAAACTTCGGAAATAATGTAAATTTTTTTAACTTGAAATAAAAAATAAATTTTCGAACCACATTATTGGAAAGGAGTAGTATGATAATATAGATATAAAAAAATAAATACAATTGTGATCCAAAATTGTCAATGCAGTACAAGCTAAGGTGCGTAAATGAAGCTTTGGAAGTTTCAAGAAGATCCACGAAAAGATGTCAAGCAAGAAAATTTTAACACAAACTCAATGAACTGAAATTAAAAAGTGTATAACAACATATACGTACCCCACCCCCACTATGTTTTGTCATTAGTATTATTTTGATTTCTCTTTTTTATAGAATTATTTTAGCTTCAATACTCCCTATTTTTCATATTGTACCTAGAATTGAAGGTCCTAGTAATGGATAGTTCTAAGTCAATTTCTTCAACCATGTACATTGGAATTGTGACCTCCCTCTTTGACAGTTTCTTGTTATTGAACATTTTAGAGAGTTCTAGTAGTTTAGTTGCTAGATTAAAGATATAATACTCAGACCTAACTCAATTCTATACTACTCATGAGAGGAAAGTTGTCCAAGTTCATATAAGCTGACCATAAACTTATTCCTGAAACAATATACTTCCTTCATTCCTTTTTATATGTCATTCATTTTTATAAATAGTTGGTCCATAATACTTGTCATTTCATAAATCAATGTATAAATTACCATATTGTTCCTTTTTTACCCTTGTGAATTATTAGCCTTGAAAATATACATTTGGCCAACTTAGAAAAGCTAAGTAAATGATTCATGTTCATTGGTTAAATTAATTAATTCATATTCATTGATTGAAAACTTGAGTTCCAAAAAAATTAAATAAGGGTAGAAAGGTAAAGTTACATCATTTCTTAATGCAAGTGCAAAGTAAAAGTGTGACATATAAAAGAGCAACTTTCACATATAGCAAACATAAAAATCATATTTGTATGCTATAACTATAGTTTGTATAATTACGCTCCATAACAAACATAAATATGTACATTTCGCTATACATATACAAAAGAAAGCAATTGTATAATTTATTTCGGTATACATATACAAAAGACCAATTGTATAATTTGTGTTTGTATAAAGCGAGAAAGAGAGAAAGATAAAAGAAAACTGGGTAGGTGAAGATCATATTTGTATAATCATAAGTGTATATGACGAAAATATATGCATTTATATTTGTATATACAATTTTCTCTCGCTTTATACAAACACAAACGCAATGTATACATTTGTGTTTGTATAAAGTGAGAGAGGCGAATGAGAGTGCGAGCGAGATTTGGGAGAGGGCAGAGAGGGGAACAAAAAATATATGTATATATACAATTTTCTCTCGCTTTATACAAACACAAACACATTTGTGTTTGTATAAAAGCTAGAGAGGCGAAGGAGACTGCTCAGCGAGAACGAGAGTGGTGAGCGAGATTTATCAGGAGAGAGACGAAATAACAACAGTTTGCTATGGGGTACAATTAAATCAAACTATGGTTATAACATTTAATTTGAATTAATAATTTGCTATTATATACAATTTTCCCCTATATAAAAAGGGATGGGGGAGTAGTTCTTTAACTCACTCTAAAACCTTTTCATGTTCAGGCCCAATTGGAGCATGAACTGAAAGCCCAAACAGAATAAACGTGACTCTGATATCTTATAAAAATATGACATGCAAACTTAACTCAATCTAAACTTTCACCTTGTTGGTGATATTTTCGATTTTCCATCGGGTAATCACCACATCTATTTACCTCTTGCCCTACCCTTTTTTAATTGAAACCATAATAATATTGCGCTGGGGCCTTTCGCACGGCTTCATTATCAAAGAAAATGACCAAACTGACAGAGACGCGAAAAACCCCAAAGAGGAAAAAACCCGACGGCCATTGTTCTCCTTCTCCATGTCCGCCATCCAAATCGTCGAAAAAGGCTAATGTCACAGCTGGTCCTTTCAATGACAGTGAGCCATTCCCCGATTACTCTCAACCCACGCCGGAGGAATGCCGAGCCGTACGGGATGATCTCTTGGCTCTCCATGGTTTCCCCAAAGAATTCATCAAGTACCGCAAACAAAGATCACTCGATCACATTGAATATGAAGAAGATGATACAAGTGGTGCTGATTCTAGTACAGAGAGTGTACTGGACGGTCTGATAAACACAATTTTGTCCCAGAACACCACCGAAGCTAACTCTCAGAAGGCTTTTGCTTCCCTCAAATCTTCTTTCCCAACCTGGGAATGTGTATGTTTTTTTTGTAAATTAATTATATTTCTTCTTATATGCTTGCTTTATTATGGCTAAAATTAACTCAAGACGCTATTTTGTTAAGTTTATTGTATTATGGTAACTGCTTTTCGTCTATTTTAGGGTTTTAGCGTTTATTATAGAGTATGTTATTTCGGCTCATTGCGTTTTATCTGTCAAGTGTCACCTTTCAAATAGTGACTGATTCATTATATGTGGTGTTTTCTTGGAAGTGATGAACAAGACTGATATTGATATTTGCTTGTGATCAAAGTTCAATGGCTTTTTTGGGAAGGATTTTGGTCGCAAACCATGTTTAAAACCAAGAATGTCTATGTATTTTCTCGATTTACTCTGTAATCGATTTGTTGTTGACTGATGAAATGGATAGACTTGGCACTGCCGACCAACTTATTCATGTAATTTTTATCTTCAAATGCTTAGGTTCTAGCTGCTGACGCAAAACTTGTTGAAGATACCATAAGATGTGGAGGTTTAGCACCCACCAAAACTTCTTGTATCAAGGGAATATTAAGTTCATTGTTACAGAAAAAAGGAAACCTGTGCTTGGAGTACTTGAGAGAGCTATCTATAGAGGAAATCAAAAGGGAGCTCTCTTGTTTCAGAGGAATTGGTCCCAAAACGGTAAATTGTTTTCAGTTTTCTTCAAATTTTGCTTGGGGAATCATGGACCGTGTTTAAGTCCGATATGCATTGAGTTTGGAATTTGGATATTGATAATTGATATGCCTGCTTGTCACATATCAATAATTGTTTATAATTTTCTTGGTATACTTGTCTCTTAGAGATATTGCGAGTTTCTATTGGCATATCGATTGAACACCAAAGCCTGGATTCAAATTTAAAATGCCATATTCAGATTTGTTCTCTTCATATTGATAACTAGTCAGCAGCATCTCGGTAAACAGAAAAGGAGGATATCGTGCCTCTTTATTATTAGCTCTCATCTATAAAAAAAAATACTATGACATTCCTTGTATTACAAGGAAATATTAATGTGTTGAGAAACTTTTTATTTTTTAGCTATAAAAATGCCTTTACGTTTATTTGTACGCTATTTAACATACCCTATTTATGCTCTATTCTATTCATGGTATCTCAAACACTGCAATTGCTTTCCAAACTTTTCTGAAGTCAATGCTTTGTCCACCCTCCACTGCTTGTCTGGGGTGATTACCACGCTTTAAAGTATATACTTTTTTTTCATGGTAAGGGGTGGATGTTAAGCTTTTTTTTTGGTGCCTTAAGGAAAAATAACTTTTTCCTTGTCTCTGCTCAGAGTAAATAAGTGGTAGAGAATTCTTGATCTCACTTGTTTTTCTTGGCATGTTTGCCTACAATCCAAGTCCCACCCTTATACCATGAGGGATGGGAGTGACATTTCTTTGAGTTTAACATGAGAAATGGGCTCTAAACAATCTATCTGCTCTTGGAATTTGAAGTCACAACCCCTTAGTAGATATTTTTATTGTTAGTAATATCTGATCTGATGGAGCACTTATGAAAGGAAAAAGAGAGCTTCCTAGTGCTTGGAATAATCGTAGTGGCAGTATGAGTTGTACCAAACTAGACCTGACTTAAGTTTTGTGTATGAAGTGAAGGCGTATGAGTAGTACCAAACTAGATATGACTTGAGTTTTGGGTCTGAAGCTAAGACTTGAAATTTCTGAATTGGGGGGACTTGACAGGAATTGCGCTACGTTTTGGATCTCAATTGAACGTTCTTTATGCCAAGATAAGAAACGAAAAAGGAAAAATAAAAGCATTTTTTTGAGGAAGGTAACAGAAAAGAGAAATAAAATAAAGAAAGAAAATAAGACATTATAAGAAAGAGGATATGCTTCTCTGTGTAATGAAAATGCGCAGTCACGTTGCAAGAAATTATTAAAATAAAAATCACGTTGTAAGAATTAGCTTATCTTAAGAAAGAATCTATTTACTGCTAAATGTTAGTAGTAGATCCAGAGATCCAACTCGATCTAATAGTATACCAAAATGTAGCATATATTACTGAGCATTTTTTTTGTTATTAAGCACGATAGAGTGAGGAAAGAAGTGATGAAAAATAAAATATTTGACCAAATGTTCGATGGAATAATCAAGGTGTGCATAAGCTGGCCTGAATTTTTTTTATTTGACCAAACAACTGAGAAATCGAAGGAGAGCGTAGGCATAACACGGGTAAAGAAGAAGAGCATGAGGGAGAGAGAAGAGAAGAAGAGAACCTGAAGCAGCTGACAGCAATAGCAAAACTTAGTGTTGATTTAGTTTCCAATTCTAGTGCACATGCGCTCGATTCATGGAATATATGTTTTTTCCTTAAATAGAGGACATTGGTGCTGTTGCCTTTCTTTTATCACAAAATAGAGGGTATGCGTGTGCAGAAAGACATAGTAAAAGGCAGATCACAAAATGCTTCAGACATGTGACAAAGATTTACCCAAAGCATCCATGTCCTGAAAAAGTCCAGACTCCCATACATGAATTTTAAAATGTAGGTTGTGCTTACCAGTGATGGGGAAGAAATTAAGAGATTATCTGAAAGATGACATGAAAAGGAATAAGGCTTATGCTAATGGTGGTGCTTTCATATTGAAAGATCTTATCACCAACAATTTTTATAATTGGCGTTTTACCAGCTTCTATGATTCTAATAGTATGCAATGGATGCAGGTGGCATGTGTCTTGATGTTCCAACTTCAGCGAGATGATTTTCCAGTGGATACACACGTGAGTTTCACTTTAAAGGGCATATTGCCTGTTCAAAGTTCTTGGCTAACATCTTTCTCAAAAAGAAGTATAACATGCAAAACTTATTACAGATTTTTCAGATTGCAAAGACTCTTCATTGGGTACCTGCTGCAGCTGATGTGAAAAAAACATATATTCATCTGAATCAGCGAATTCCAGATGAACTAAAGTTTGACCTTAATTGTCTCATATATACCCATGGTAAGGTCTGTAGAGAATGCTCTGGAAAAGGTTCTAACAAACCCAAAAAGGAACAATGTGACAAACTTTGCCCATTACTGGGCCAAAGTTCTAATGCAATATGAAACTAAATTATGAACTCTGTATCTATTCATGTACATGAGGTCTTTGCTTTCTTTTTTGTTCTCTTTCATGATCCATGAACTCTACGCATCTATTTGTGTACATGAAGTTTTTGCATTTTTTTTGTTCTCTTTCATGATCCCTTCACTTTTGGTGCTGCATTTGGGTCTTGTTCACAAAGATGAAACAAAAATGTGGTGGATTGAGAAACAAAATTAATTACTTCATGTCTTTGGATCACTTCTTAGAGAAAACCGGCTACGTCTTATCTATTTTCACTAGTCATTTGTAATGCATCTATGCATAATTATTTCCTTTGGTCATTGTGCTTTTGTTGTGTTTTTCACCCCCTTATTGAGGAGTAAGTCTTTTTGTAAATTGAATTAGAAGAATGAAATGGGGTTTGAGATGATTGGAGATGAGCACCAAATAACAATGTGGTATTACAACACATTCCATTATGCTTCTGAAATGGCAAAAAAGCTTCAAAAATGTGGTCCAATGAGCCAACTTGGGTAGATGGAAACAAAGAACCTTAGCTGGCTAATGCTAGTACATGCCAATAATTTGCTTTAGCTATAAATTTATCTTCCTAGGTGCTGGATACAAACTTATTATGCCCAAACTAGATATGCTCAGATCTAATTGGTGGACAATTAAAAGATTTGCTTGTCTCATTATCCACTTCTAATCTTATTTTATTTTTCTTGTAATCAACAAGTAATTTCATTTGCTTTTGACAAGGATTAATTACCATATTTTACAGTAGAAATTTAAATTTATTCTAATCTTAAGTTAGGATGGGAGTTCAGATGAAAACTGTTACAGCTGCTTACCAGCTGTGGTGCGGATGTGGTCCACGCTTGTATGAGCCTAAAAGAAATGATGTTTATCAAGTTAGCTACCTTCTGGTGCAAGTTTTTGTGCTGCTAAGTTATCTTGATAGGTGATATTTCTGAGAGAAGAACAGATTTTCTTTGCAAGCTTAACCAAATGTCTTGGGGAAAAAACAGAAAGAATGAACTAATGAGATGTACTCGAAATTAAAGATAAAGTGAAAAAGTCCCAATTCAGTAATGCACTAGGCTCCCTATTCTGGCTTTATGTGAACCTTTTTATTATATAATGATTTAGTTGGATATGATGTTGGCTATGCATGACTGTGCCATTTTCTTTTGGTGGTTCTACTATATTATATTTTGCATCTCCTATAAAATGTAGCATTCCGAACCATTTGGCATGCCAGGAACTTTTCATTCCAATGGATGAGGCACTGTACCAAAAATCTACCAACTTAAATCTCCTTTCAACTGGAAGGAATGGAACAGATAATGTCTGTTGCAAAACTACTACTTCAGATAAAAAGCTTAGAATTTTTGGCTTTGAGGTAAATCCTTGTTCAAATGATATCATTTGTTCAAAATCTGAAAGTGACCAGAGTATTAGCTCCTCTGAAACATTTGCAGATGAAAGACTAGTGGAAAAAACTTCCATCTGCATGAATTCCTCTAGCATAGTTCTTCCCAACCCAAATGAAAACCTCAGAAACTTGAGCTGCTCAGTTGTCAGTGAGTTTAAATATGAGTGCCACTTCTGTTTAAAGAAGTTTACTAACTCACGGGCACTGGGAGGTCACCAGAATGCCCATCGAAAAGAGAGGTTGAAGAAGAAAAGAATGGATCTTGAAGCAAAAAGAGCTAGCTCCATGCTCCATCTTTATTCTTTAATCAGAAACACTGGCGTTATCTACCCTTACTATTCTTTAAGTCATCAAAACCTCTTTGTTTCTGGAAGTTCAATCATCAATTTCAGCTCCGTATATCACTATCAGAACGGCACTCATCCCCTATATGTTGCTGTTGATGCTCATCCCCAAGGTGAACTACAATTGCAGAATAACTGTTCTACCTCGGTGCAGGGTGGTGAGTCTAGAGGGAGAGACCTGTTGTCATGAGCGTTAAGTACTTTTGCTGGAAAAATTCTGTCATCTAAACATAGGTGCTAGTATCCCTGGAAACGAATTGGGTTATTTATTTCACTTATCAGACAAGGAAGGATATATCAGCTATTTCGACTAATACTGTCTATTTGAATATCTCCAGTTTTGGATCTAATATGTTCTTAATTATATTTAGAGCATGTTTGGATGAACTTATAAGTCGAAGCCATAAATTAGGATTTCTAACTTGTGGCTTATTTTTGTTATTTTGGCTTAAAACAAGTACTTAAAAGCACTTTTTATTATTCAAAACATTGCAAAAGTGCTTTTAAGTACTTGTTTTGGCTCAAAAACACATCAATCCAAACACGCTCACGATTCAGACCACACCTTCAAAGTTAAGTTCTCAAATATAGAGTCTATTTGGATGAACTTATAGTTTAAAAGTTATGTTTGCTTAAAAGCACTTGAAATAAGTTAATCCATGCTCATAATATCTTACAACTATCGAGCTTTCCTTTCGTCTCTTTTTTTTAAAGAAAAATTATTATTAAAAGAATGTGAGTTGGCTTTAACAGAAAAAGGAGCACAGTGCACTATAGCTTGACATAATACTTAAGTTGGACGTTTTTACGTGGCTTAAGTATGTTTTTGTTTTGTTTATGTTAAATCGATAAAGGCATATCTTTTACATTAATCGTGTTTTGAAAATTCTAAGTATTTATTATATCTACCTCACAAAGATAGGATAAGATCAAGTACATTGTACATCTGAACTTCACAATTCGGGTGGGACTATATTGAATATATTATTGTTCTTTAATAATTAATTAAATTGTAAGTTTATTCTATATCTAGTCTCTAAGTAGTTAATGAGACAATTACATTTTCAAATACACAAGATAAATATAACTAAAAAGAAATGCACGAAACAAATAACTAGAGTTCTAATAGCATGAACATTCTATCCATGGAGACATAATAGTCATAACACCTCCCATTTAGGCGAGCCCCAACTAATCCATCCTCTCAAATCATTTGTTCGTGATTTTTAAAAATAATTATATTATATTATTTATTATTTTAAAACTTGAAGATAAAATTAATTATTATATTTTTTATTATATCATTATTAATAATTGTTCTTAAAAACTCGTATACCTTTATTATGGAGTAATGTTTAACATGTTTTGTTCCATATTAGTTGTCCATTCTCTTCACACTCTTTAAGAAATCATAAATAAAATAGATACTCCCTCTATTCCATATTAAGTGAATTTTTAGGTATTTTTTTCATTGTTCAAAATAATTGAATTATTCAAAGTTCTAAACAAATGTTTGAATTTTTTTTCATATTTATCATTTCCTTTAATGAAATTTATATTTTATTGAAAATAACTTACACTACTTACAAAATTATGTTTATGATTTCACAAAAGATAATAATAAAAAATATGCTTTAAATTATGTCTTTTTAAATGTTTTTCTTATTTAGTGTGCACGGCCTCACAACTTCACTTCATATGAAAATTGGAACAAAGGGAGTAATAATTTACTCCTTAATTATAGAATGTAAACAACTAACTAATATGTGACAGAGAGAATAATTAAAACTTCTTCCTAATTAATATTTTTTGAAAAGGGATAAAAAAGAATCAGGACAAAAAATTACACTATTTAGCAAAGAGTTTGACCGTTTGTAGAAATTATTTGGATTCGACAAGAAAGGAAAGAAAATGAATGAGTGATATGTCGGCTTACGATTGGTTCATCCACCGAATATATGCTGACTTGGACATTCAACACAGCTCAGATTTGATCCCTAATCCCAACCTTCATAAAACTTCAACCCCCTCGCTTCTCAATTCCCCTTTTCTTCTTCTCCAATTTTCCCTCCATTAATCTTCTTTCATATCTCAAAAAAAAAAAGCATAAAAAATGTTTCAAGCAACTGTTGTGAAATGGATTCTGCTATATCTTGTAATCTCTCCCACCATTTTTATCCTCTGTTTATCAGACCTCCACTCCAACAATCTTTTGGCTGCTAAAAGGAAGCGAATGAGCGAAAGAGTTCGCAAGATGTAAGCTATGCAAAAACTTGAAAATGCTGTTCATGAATATTTTGGTCTCAACTTTAATTTCATAGAAATTGCTCTTTTTGATTAAATTCTAATACATTAATGGCGGAGTAGATATATTGTGATCGTATACGTATTCCATTGTCATTGACGAGTATATATAAGAGGGTGAAAGTTATTAGGAGTGTTGTTTATGTTTTGTGTTTTGGTGGATTATGAGTAAGAGAGTGATAACATTTGGAAATTACTTGAATGAGATTATCTTGTTACAAAGTGAGATTGGTTAAGGGATTTTTTTTTTTGTTTTTACAGGTTTTACCATGCTTATGATAACTACATGATGTATGCTTTTCCGGTAAGAATTAGCTTCGACTATTGAATAAAGGTCTGGAAAATACCAACTCATCAAGGTGTTTTTTTTTGGCTGTCTAATTTTTGTATTTGCAGCATGATGAGCTGAAACCTCTGACCAAAACCTTCACAGATTCTCTGAGTGAACTTGGGAATTTGAAGGTAACTAACTATGTCTTAATTTAGAAGAATCATCATTGAAGAAAACAGGTCTTGTTATCTTTGTATAACGGTTTTACCACGTGTTGGTATATTTTAGCTCGAACATCTGCCACAGCAGTACAATGGGTCAGCTCTTACACTAATTGAATCCTTGTCCAGGTTGGTTACATTTGTTGTTCTTCTTGCAACTCAGAACCAATTTTATACTATGTTTATTTAGCACTATTTATCTTTTTACCTTATATTTTCCAGCCTTGTAATCTTGGGTAACTACACTGAGTTTGAGAAGGCTATAATTTGGCTATCTGAAAATCTATCATTTGATGTGGATGCAAGGGTAAATCTATTTGAGGTAATATATACATTGTCACGTTTACATTTCTGTGTATGGTCTAATTGGGTTATTGAGCTTGCCTTTGTGCATCGTCAAATTGTTCTCTCAATAAATGCTTTTAATGACCACATTTAAGTAGGATTTCTCAGCACTCAATCGAGGGAAGTTTATAGTTTTGCTTGCCTTTGTGCACTCACATTTATTCAAATTCACTTTATAATTTTTCTTTTTTCCTGATCACCAATTGTAGTGCAACATAAGAGTTCTTGGAGGACTTGTTTCTGCTCATATTCTTGCCACTGATTCTACAAACAGGTTGGTTCAACTAATTTATAAGAATCAACTCCTTGACCTGGCTGAGGA